TCGTTGTGGTAAAAAGAAACAATCGAATCACAAGGGTGGACTATATTTTCGAGTTCTCGTAACATTCCATTCATTACGACAGATCCCTAGGCAACGCGGAGAATTGGCATCAGGTTGCCCATCGCGGTGCAATTAGTCCTCAACATTGTTTAAAAGTTATCCAGGTCTGAGCTAGCATTAATTACGTGCAGCACAAAGAGGGCGTCTATGTTAGTTGTCGAACCTAGTCAGCGTTCCTGTCCCAGCAGCTCATATTCTGTGCACCTCTTTTCTTTTCACACATCCAAAAAGTTCCGAAGGAAATACGGAGGATGCAACTCAAAGATCTGCCCTACGAGGATCAATTATCTGCCCAAGTCTAAGTTCCGCGCAGGACTACATCGTACAAGGCTATAGTCGTTTTTCTGTACCTCAGGTAGCGTACGCAATTTGTAAAGAAAAGGAGATACTGGGCACTGGATGCCTATGACAGGTGAGTTGGCCAAGTTTGACTGCAACATCAAAGGCCCCCGAAAGAAGTTTCCATTAGAAAGCATGCGAAATAGATGCCGGTGGATGGCAGGGGGAGGAGGTGCCAGTGGGTGGCGGGAGGTGATTGAGGCTCTCCGTTTTTTACAGCTCCTCCTCCCTGATTTATGTGGAGACATTTAAATAAAAACAATCTTAAGTCACACGTGATGTGTTCACGGACAGTCGGACAGGTGACGATCTAATGATAATGATAAAGTTGTAGTTTTATTTTCTCATAAGAAATCCAGCTGAATCGTGTGTGTGTGTGTGTGTGTGTGTGTGTGTGTGTGTGTGTGTGTGTGTGTGTGTGTGTGTGTGTGTGTGTGTGTGTGTGTGTGTGTGTGTGTGTGTGTGTGTGTGTGTGTGTCAGGAGGTGGAGCAGTACCTACTGCGTACTGGGACAGTGAACAGCATGGAGAGCTCCCAGTCTGTCCCCAGCATGTCCATCTCAGCCAGCTCCCACAGCAGCTCGGTCAACAGTCTGGCCGACGCGTCCGACGACAGCAGCAACGAGATGGCCATGATGCAGGAGGGCGAGCACACCGTCACCTCCAACAGCTCCATCATCCACCGACCCACGGAAACCCACAAGGCTCTGAGTAACCATGACAACCCCATTCGCTCGTAGAGCACTTTGTAAGTGATGACAACCTGGTCCCGCGTGATCTCCTCGTCAGGGTCAGGATAACATCTACGATGACCCCTACCAGCCGGAGATGGACCAACCTCAGGTTCCTTCAGCCGGACGCCGACGAGCTTATTACCGCAACCGGGACCACTTTGCCACCATTAGGACCGCCTCCTTGGTAAGTCCTCCTCAGCCTCTTCTCCCTTCTCCTCCTTGTCTTCCTCCCCCCACCTCCTCTTGGAAGTCTTGTACTTTATTATTTCACACCAATTTGTGAAAAATTAGGTTTTTAGATCTTTGGCTTTCTCAGAAAATGAATCCAGACTTCTTGTACTCTTTTCTTCTGAATCAGTAAAACCTGAAAGTCTTATCTTGTTCATGTGATGACTGTTGTATTTCTGAAGAGTAAATCCCTCCTGAAGTTGATGAAGACGACGATGAGATTGTATTTTACTGGAGTCGGTCCCCCGTGGCTCCGCCCTCATGTCGCATCACCACGTGACTGTCCGGCTCCGCCTCCTAAGCACCGCTCCACTCCTCCTCCAGGTGACCCGTCAGATCCAGGAGCACGAGCAAGGCTCGGCGCTGCGGGAGCAGATGTCCGGGTACAAGCGCATGAGGAGGCAGCACCAGAAGCAGCTGATGGGGCTGGAGAACAAGCTGAAGGCGGAGATGGACGAGCACCAGCTGAAGCTGGACAAGGAGCTGGAGAACCAGAGGAACAGCTTCTCCTCGGAGGCCGACAAGCTGTCCAAGAAGCACCAGGCCATCCTGGAGAAGGAGGTGGGGGTCCTGTCACGCAGCGTCATTTCCATGTGGCCCACCTCCGGTGGACTGATTACCAGCAGCTATTCATAATAAGACAATTCATCTGTAGTAGTAATGAAATAATATCCGGCATATGTGTATGTATGTATAACAATGGCATTAGAGACGTTAAACGGATCATAATTCAGCTGATATCTATTTTAACATCTGGATTTATTCAAGTTCATCACCCAAAACGACTTCTAACAGACGACCCCTGAACACATCACAATAACGTTATATGTTCACTGAGCAGAGCCTGAACCTGAAGAGAACCTGTTAGCTGTTAGCGGTGCTGCTAACGTCAATATCCTCCTGTTGATCTGCACGCTTATTGGTGGATTACAATGTCACATGATCAGATACAAGAAAACATTGGCGACATGCTGTGAGGGTTAAATTCTGACTTCCTGGTAACTGTATATCTAAAGAGCTGGTTTAAGAGAGTCGGTTCCTTCTGAAAAGCTTCAGGTGAACACCACTTCCTGCTCACCGCTATGGGACGGTGACTCGCTCACAGTGATGTTTAGACCAGCTCTGACCTCCTGCGTCCCTGCAGGTGAAGGCGGCTCTGACTGAGGAGAAGAAGTTCCAGCAGCACATCCTGGGCCAGCAGAAGAAGGAGCTCACCGGTCTGCTGGAGACCCAGAAGCGCCAGTACCGCCAGCGCAAAGACCAGCTGAAAGAGGTCAGAGAGGGTCACACGTTAACCTGCTCACATCGCCATGGCAACAGGACCCCACTGAGCCACTTGTCCCCCCCCCAGGAGCTGAGCGAGAACCAGTCCACCCCCAAGAGGGAGAAGCAGGAGTGGCTGATCCGCCAGAAGGAGTGCCTGCAGCAGATGCAGGCGGAGGAGGAGGCCAGCCTGCTGCGGAGGCAGCGGCAGTACTACGAGCTGCAGTGTCGCCAGTACAAGAGGAAGATGCTGCTGGCCCGACACAACCTGGAGCAGGACCTGCTGAGGGAGGTAGGCCAGTTCCGCCCTCCTTTATCTCCCGTCAGAATAAAAGCCCCTCTGCCCTGGAAACACGTGTTCACTGCAGAATACCGCGTGAATGAAACGAGTTCTTCTCCCACACAACACAAATACTCCTACAAAATATTCTTCTTTTCTGCTTCTTCTCCCCCACCAGGACCTCAACAAGAAGCAGACCCAGAAGGACCTGGAGTGCGCCATGCTGCTGCGTCACCACGAGTCCACGCAGGAGCTGGAGTTCAGGCAGCTGGGCTCGGTGCAGCGGACCCGGGCCGAGTTGATTCGGACTCAGCACCAGACGGAGCTGACCAACCAGATGGAGTACAACAAGCGCCGCGAGCAGGAGCTGAGGCAGAAGCACACGGTGGAGGTCCGGCAGCAGCCCAAGAGCCTCAAGGTGAGAGCGGGGGGGTTCTGTGGAAACTGTGATGACCAGAAGAAGAGAAGAACTCGTGGTTACCGCAGAATAGCACCGTCATAATGACATCATTAAATATCTTCTGAGGCTCGATGTGTTTCTCTCCTCTCGGCACACATGACTGCTGGTCTCAGATGTTTTTACAGATTGTGATTTAAAGTAACAAGATCTTTTTGATGGGATGTGTTCAGGGACCGTTGCAAGGATGATGATTCAGAGTTTTTTTTTAGACAACAATTAACATCTCAAAATCCTTCACTGATTTTAATGAAAACCTTCACAGTCCAAAGAAATGCAGATCAAGCGTCAGTTCCAAGAGACCTGTAAGATCCAGACCCGGCAGTACAAGGCTCTGAGGAACCACCTCCTAGAGAGCACTCCCAAATCCGACCACAAGACCGTCCTCAAACGCCTCAAAGAGGAGCAGACTCGCAAGCTGGCCATCCTGGCCGAGCAGTACGACCACTCCATCAACGACATGCTGTCCACACAGGCTGTGAGTAAGGCAAGGAAATCCCGCCCACCTTCTGCACCGCACCTCAACACGACCTCCTTCAGAACCTAGACCAGAACCAGTGACTCCAGCTCTACAGACATGAACACATCTTCGTCATCATCATGGTGCTCGCTGTGCTTCTCGGGTCCTAACGCTCTCGCGTCCCCCCCACAGCTCCGCCTGGACGAGACCCAGGAGGCCGAGTACCAGGTTCTGAGGATGCAGCTGCAGCAGGAGCTGGAGCTGCTGAATGCCTACCAGAGTAAGATCAAGATCCACACGGACAGCCAGCACGAGCGGGAGATGAAGGACCTGGAGCAGAGGGTGTCCATCCGCCGGGCACTGCTGGAGCAACGGGTACCCATCACGCTCCTCCTTAGACCCTCAGCTCACTGTCTGTCTGTCTGTCTGTGTGTGAGATAATAATATATATATGTGTGTGTGTGTATATATATATATATATATATATATATATATATATATATATATATATACACAATTATTTCATTAGTACAACATCTTTGCTCCCCCGAGGTCTTGAGTTCATTATCTGTCCTTGTCTTCGTGTCCCCAGATCGAGGAGGAGATGCTGTCGCTGCAGAACGAGCGCTCGGAGCGGATCCGGACCCTCTTGGAGCGCCAGGCCCACGAGATCGAGGCCTTCGACTCGGAGAGCATGCGCCTGGGCTTCAGCAACATGGCGCTGAGCGGCATCCCTGCCGAGGCCTTCAACCAGGGCTACCCGACCCCCAGCCCCTCCTCGGGCTCCGGGGGCTGGCCCTCGAGGCCCGTCCCCCGCTCCGGGAGCCACTGGAGCCACAGCGTGCAGAACTCGGTAGCCACACCCTCCTGGCGTGGCCAGAACCACTCAGGAGGAGGGGGAGGAGGAGGAGTGGGGGCGGGCTTCATCCGGGCCGAGTCCATCGCCTCCTCCCACGGCCTCGGCAGGGACAGCGAGCTGCACAAGAGCAGCAGGAGCCACCCGTCCTCCTCTGCCTCCTCCCACTCCTCCTCCCATCATCACCATCACCACCACCACCACCAGCACCACCAGCAGCAGCAGCAGCCCCCGCCGCAGCACTACCTCCCGCAGCACTACCAGCACCACCAGAGCACGCCACAGCTGTACCGCGAAGGCCACGACGGCCGGGAGCGCTCCAGGGAGTGGGTGGGAGGAGGAGGAGGAGCAGCAGCAGCAGGAGGAGGAGGAGGAGGAGGAGGAGGTGGTGGAGGCGGAGGCCTCTACCCCCACCACTCCCAGCTCCATCACCATCACCAACACCTCGCCACTCACGCCTCCTCCCAGTTCCCTGGCGCTCCTGCCTCCCCCCCCGCCGCCACCACCAATCTCTCTCTCCTCTTCCTCCCCGCCCTCCTCCGCCTCCTCGTCCTCCTCGTCTCAGGGAGGCTACGGCGGCGGCCTGAGCATCCGGGGCCCCGGCCTGATGGCCCTCAGGAACAGCCCCCAGCCTCTGAGGAGGACGGCCTCCGGGGGTCCGGGGGGAGGAGGGGGGAGCGACGGTGGGCTGAGCAGGAGCACGTCAGTCACCTCCCACATCTCCAACGGGTCTCACCTCTCCTACTCATGAAGCTCCTCCTGAGATCTGACTCCAGGTCTGTAGGTTAGATCGTCGTCTTTCTTCAGCACGAAAGATTGTTCCTGAAGCTCCAAAAAAAAAAAGAAACCTTTTTGATTTTATTTTGAAGTATTAAGAAACAAAACGTAAATAATGTAGGTTTTGTGCCACATTGAATCAGCGTCCCCACGGTGCGTTCAAAGACCCCTGTAAACTATGTAAATAACAGACTGTAAACCCAAGTATCTTTTGTTTTGATCCGTAACTGTAACTGTCATACGTTAATTTGTTTTTTAGTGATGGATAACAATCTGTTAACTGAAGAAACACTGCCACCTCGTTTGACCTCGAGTGACCCCGCCCCTTTCACGTTTTCTTAAAGGGACAGTCCGACATTTAAAAAAAATTCAAAATCCTTTAAAATTATCAAGGCATGTTAAAGGTATTTATCCAGACAACACATTTCAGGCACAAAAATACATCAAATGTAGTAAAAAATCAATCACAAAAGTGTTAAAAGGTGGAATGAGCAGGTTTTGTTTTATCTTATTTATTTGTGTTCGGATAGAAACAAAATTTATAAGAGTTCTCGCTCTTGAATTGAATTTGATCTTTATGTTCATATTCTGTTATGAAGAACCAATTATTCAAATGAGATGTTTTCTTGAATAATAACAGAAATAAAATGGGAAATAAAAGTACCTGAAGTGGATCAGAAAATCCATTAAACAGTCAATAGATGGTGCTCTGATCGATTAGTCGACTCATTAGTTCTTATTTCCATGATGGAATGTCGGACTTCTTCTTTAAAGGGGGTGTGTGTGCGTGTGTGTGTGCATGTGTACAGTGGTTTGTATGAATAACAGGAACACTATTTATAGACATGTACATAGAGCACTAACTGAGACCGTGTTAGAGAAATATTAATATGATAATGGGATGATGTCATTATTACCTCGACTGCAGCGGGAATATTTATGTCGTATGCCGGTTTTTAAGGTGTAGTTGCCATGTTGACCACTAGGTGGAGGAATACGAGCAATGTTACTGTGATAGACAGAGGAGGACTACATTTCCCAGCATTCCTCTGGAGGACACACTGTTCTTTGTGTTTTCTTGAGCCAGTATTATAAAGTCTACGCCGTCGAGTCAAATATTAATGATCATATTTTACGGATTCTTTCTCAGTTTAGTGCGATGTTTTTTTATTTCTGCTTTTATTTCTTCAACAAAAAACACACACTGAAAAATATGAATCTGCAAAGTATTCAATAATTTAAATAGAAATATAGGTAGAAATAGTTCTATGGATTTAAGTTTGGTAAGATCTATTTGTTAGCGCTCAAATATTATGAGATAAACGTGTTTTTATTGAGTTAAATATTTTATGGGCTCAATAATTGATACTTGAACACTCTGGATCTTTATGGGCAAGCCAACTGATCTGAAATCTGCTTGTTTATAATAAAACAAACTAATACTTTTCTTTGTTGCCGACAGACAACAAACCTCTCCCTCAAAACAAAGCAAAGGTTTGTGAGATTTCATTTTGCCAACTCTACTTTTTTACTACATTTTTTTATTTTGTGAAGTTTTATTCCGTCGTTTTGCCAATTAAAGCTGCTCCTGCTCTTCTGTGAGCAGTTCAATGACATCGGGATATCTGTGTTTTTCGCTGCCTCAACATATAAGAACTGTTCTGGATATTCTTTTGTTTGGTTCTATGTGAACAACAAATGTTTCTAAAAATGTGCTCAATATTTTCTCATGTTTTGTCTGAGTTGAATTTATGTTAATGCACAGAAAATAAGTCTGGAGACACTCATCTTTTTTTTTTTTTTTTTTTTCAACAAAATTCCCCCCCAAAAGGTTTCCATCTTTAATCAGATTTTTTGGATCTTAAACTAATCTATGTGATGCGTTTGACATTTGTAATCTGAACCAAATGTGATCCAGAAAAGAAACAACAATCAAAACAATTAGCAAATTTCCCAAAATGCATTGCTTTCACAAAGCGCTCCTGTACGCTGACGTTCGTCCTACAACACAAAGAAGCAGTGACTGCTGGTTGTTTGGCCACAATAAACTGACGGGGATGAAGAGGATGATGAAGATGAGTAAGTGTGATGGATGGATTTTTACGACTGGAGGCGGAGCTGGTTTTTGCAGAAGAGATGAATTGTACAGAAATGTAACAATAATTTTGGAGAAATAAATGGAACAAAAACAGAAGTGTTTATTTGTTTTTGTTTTATTTACGAAAGCTTAAATCAGTTTTAAACTTTAAATGAGAATGTTTGTTTCTGAATCAAACCGTTTTTAAAAGACTAACTGCTTTCAATTCAAGGTGAGACTCAAACACATTTCAAATGTCACATTTATCTATAAACGTTTACATTATATCTGCTTTTTAGGCTAAAAGAATGGAGTCGAGATCATGGAACTTAAAGGTTCCCCACCAGATGTTAATTTCTTTTTTGTTTATGATCAATTTACATATGTATCCATACAAGTTATTTTTTGTTTTAAAGAAATGCTCTTCCAGTGACCTCAGAAGAATAATGTTAAAGGGAAGGCGCGTGCTGCAGCGGACACGTCACGTGATGTCACCAACCAATTGGAGTTGTGCTGTGGTCATTGAGACCGCAATGGTCTTTCAAAATAAAATGACAGAATGAATACCACAATAACAGTAGTAGAGGAAGTATTCAGGTCCTATTCAGTGAATACTAACACCACACAATAACACCGGTACATATACACTATTCAAATTTAAATAGTACATTTGTACTTAAGTACAGTGTTCTTGAGTGAAACGAATCAAGTTCCATTCTGCCTTTGGACATAGACAACAGGTATTTTTAATGAGGTTCAACTTTTCAACTATTTGATTAATTTACAACTAAATGTAAGGCTTTAGAAATACAATTTGCAATGAAGAATAAAAAAAACAATGACAGGAACACCGTTTAAAGGGTTTTGTTTGGAATTTAGGAATACATTTATTGAGTTAGTCAGCATTGCGCTTTTATTCTGAAATGTCAGCGGAAGTCATATCGTTGTCGCTGTCCGGAAACAGGAAATCGGTGTTTCTCCTCTCCGAAGAAGTAACCACTCATCAAACATCCAACTGTCGCCTTTAGTTTAGTTTCTCTTTCAAAAACGCAGTAAGCACTGAGCTACTGAAGCTACCGAATCTACCGGACACCGAGAGACGGCAGAGACGGAACGGAAAACATCCAAGATGGCGGAGGAAAACATCTTCTTCTTCGTCCCCAATTTGATCGGTTAGTTTCCATCGTCTCTTACCAACACCTAGCGTTAGCTAGCTAGCTTGCTACAGTTAAACGTGTGGTGGAGTAGCCGCTGTACCTGTACCTCTGCCGACCCGCTGTACCTGTACCTGTACCTCTGCCGACCCGCTGTACCTGTACCTCTGCCGACCCGCTGTACCTGTACCTCTGCCGACCCGCTGTACTTGTACCTCTGCCGACCCGTTGTACTTGTACCTCTGCCGACCCGTTGTACTTGTACCTCTGCCGACCCCGTTGTACTTGTACCTCTGCCGACCCCGTTGTACTTATACCTCTGCCGACCACGTTGTACGTCTGCCAATCCGGTGTACGTGTACCTCCCCCAACCCGATGTACTTGTCCCTCCGCCGACCCGCTGTACTTGTACCTCCGCCCGACCCGTTGTACTTGTCCCTCAGGTTACGGCCGTATCCTCCTGGCCCTGCTGGCCTTCGCTCTGATGCCCTGCTGTCCCTGGACCGCCGTCTTCTGCTACCTGCTCAGCGCCCTGCTGGACTCTTTGGACGGACACGCGGCCCGAGCCCTCAACCAGAGTACGTATACATCTATACTGTACAATCCGTGTACTGTGGCTGCTGGTAGGATTTGAAGTAGTAGAAGCATGTATAGTGGTAGAAATGATAGGATGTGTGATATTGTATTTATGTATGTCTGAGAGGGATTCTCACCGGCCTCGTCCTTTGTCTCCTCATTGACGGCTTTGGGACAGATGATGCTGCGTGTGGACACATTGTTGAGCGCATGTTGTGAGAGAGGAACAACCCCACACTCATATGAAGTGGTTTTCTCTCCAGGCACTAAGTTTGGAGCCATGATGGACATGCTGACGGACCGCTGTGCCACCATGTGTCTGCTGGTCAACCTGTCGCTGCTCTACCCGTCCTACGTCTTCCTCTTCCAGCTCAGCATGTGTGTGGACATCGCCAGCCACTGGCTGCACCTGCACAGGTACACAAGCACACAAGTACACCAGTACTAGTCGGCGGTTACAGGAAGCCTCTTCTTCTCCGTAATGAAGCGCCCCCGTGAGCTCCTGCTCTGAGGACCTGGGACACATGTCAGGAGTACTTTTTAAAACTTGTGATCATGTTTAAGAGAGCGGAGGAGTCGCCCCCTGCTGGTCACTACAGAGAAGTAGAGTCATTTCCTCATAGACGTCTATGGGAGCAGAGGAGTCGCCCCCTGCTGGTCACTACAGAGAAGTAGAGTCATTTCCTCATAGACGTCTATGGGAGCAGAGGAGTCGCCCCCTGCTGGTCACTACAGAGAAGTAGAGTCATTTCCTCATAGACGTCTATGGGAGCAGAGGAGTCGCCCCCTGCTGGTCACTACAGAGAAGTAGAGTCATTTCCTCATAGACGTCTATGGGAGCAGAGGAGTCGCCCCCTGCTGGTCACTACAGAGAAGTAGAGTCATTTCCTCATAGACGTCTATGGGAGCAGAGGAGTCGCCCCCTGCTGGTCACTACAGAGAAGTAGAGTCATTTCCTCATAGACGTCTATGGGAGCAGAGGAGTCGCCCCCTGCTGGTCACTACAGAGAAGTAGAGTCATTGTCTCATAGACGTCTATGGGAGCAGAGGAGTCGCCCCCTGCTGGTCACTGCAGAGAACGTAGAGTCATTTCCTCATAGACGTCTATGGGAGCGGTCCCCCAACAACTGGGCCACGTGGAACCAGCCTAGTTCCACTATTAGACCCATCAGAGAGAATGCAGCTTTAACTCATGTCTCACTTTAAAGCACCGGGGGTCATTGCTAATAAATCTATAAACCAATGAGTAGTAACTCGCTACTTCTTCTTTCAGCTCGACAATAACAGGCTCCGCCAGTCATAAGAGCATCGACCTCTCGGGGAACCCCATCCTCCGGATCTACTACACCTCCAAGGTGAGGAGCTGACACACACAGACGCGCGCACACACGCTGTGTATTGTGTGTCAGAGAGTCACTGTGTGTGTTTGTGTCCTGTAGCCGGTTCTGTTTGTCATGTGCGCCGGGAACGAGCTCTTCTTCTGCCTCCTCTTCCTCCTCCATCACATCCAGGAGCCTGCAGGTAAGCGCGTCATAGTTTGTTCTGCCGTGTGTTATCAGCACTTGTACTGCAGTAAACACCCGGTGTACTTTGTGTACTGCAGCCTGGCTCTACTGGCTTCAGGGGCTCTGTGGGACGATCTGCCTCCTGAAGACGGCCATCAGTGTGGTTCACCTGGTCACCGCCTCACAGAACATGGCTGCCATGGACGCCGCCGAGCGGGAGAAGAGCGGGAAGACTCAGTGAGAGGGGGAGGAGCTATTCAGCCATGTTTTTATTTATTCTTTTTTGTCCGTGCACTTAAAGAGGAAGGACCAGAGAGGGGAAGAAGGATTTATGACCAAACGCGGTGACGTCCGATGAACGTCTGCTGGATTATTCATCAGGACGTGATAAATAATACAGAATCAAGTAGGAGATCCGTCGTCAGGCTTCAGTCACAGAACGCTTTTCATCCTCTGACATTTTAATAACCACAAAGCTGTTTAATAGACACGACAATCAAATGTATTTAAGTCTTTGGTTCTCAATGAGATTATTACTGATTCATATTTTGACAGTTTGACAAACACCGTTCATTTAAGAGAGGCATTAAACAGAAAATATTTATTGTTCTATCTAAACTGCAGTTGTACCCCCTCAACCCGCCAACTAATATTCGAGTTTTGTGGACTAAATGATCAAAGGATGAGCTAAATGTAATGCTGATCACCTCCTGTCAAACGTTTTGGAGAAAATCGCTATGGTAAAATGAAAATAGTATTCCTCATTAATGCTGTTATTGTTGTAAAATGTAAAATGTATTTATCCGGATGGGATTATGTGGACAGACCAAACAAGCGAAGAAAAAACATTTAATGTTTTATCAGTTTGTGCTTATTCAACATTCATGTTTATTTTTGTGCTTCAAACAGGAAACGGCACCAAGCGTGTACACATTGAAATGCTAAACATGAAAAGACACCGTATGTGTTTGCAGTGTTGGAATAGAATGTATTTTAATAGTAGAATATGCACATGTATATCAGATGGTATAAAAGTGCAAATGGTTTGACTTAAATGTGCAAATAAAAACTGACCACCACATTTATTTTTATTATTATTCTTTATTCATATGCAGACTAAGTTGAATCGTATTTTCCTAAATTAAGGCTGTACTAAAATAATTCTTGGCTTCATTCAGAATGGGAAAAAAAATGTGCTCAATTTGATGAGCAGTTTGTTGTGAAAAAACTACCTCAACGTTTAAAAAGTCAGATGCTACATTGGTGAGCGGAGCGCGTGCGTTTAGCCCGCCGGTCACGATACAGCAGCAGTGACGTCGCCTTGGAGTCCAGCTGTTTGCACCTGCGCGCATCGTTTCCTCTGAGGCCCCGGATGGGACCCGGATGGGACGTGTTTGAGCGGAACCCGGACCCATTTTAGTGAGTACGAGTTCCGGTGACCCGACGCGCTGCGCCTGTATTGTTGTAATTAATCGTTCAACCGAAGAAGGACGCTGACGGTCCGGGTCGTTCTGTGACTATCAGTCGGCCCACGGGGGGAGGGGGGAGAATACGTTCCCTTTAAAACTGAGAGGGACAAGGGGGGGAGAATAAAAGGAAGACAGAAAGGGAGGGCGAGAGAGGGCCTTAAAAAAAGAAAAAGATGTCGTCCTGTGGACCGAGACGCCGAGGCGGAGCCACGGACCGCGGCCGACCGGGAGCTTTGTAGGCGGGGGACAAGCTGTACGCAACGCCGAGGCTCGGGGATCCGACGCGGCGGCGGCCTCCCCCCCTCCTCTCCTCCTCTCCTCCTCTCCTCCCACGGAGCAACGATGAGCGCGACCTCCTACTCGTCTTCGGTCGACAAATTATCGCAACATTTTTTATTACAGTAGACATAAGCAAATTATATATATTATTAAAAACGCACCATTAAAATAAAAGCATGACATCAACCATCTTGGCGCGTTTGCACAATGGTTGATAAACATATATTTTATTTGTAGTTGATGACTCGGTCTCACGTTAAGCTAAACGTCGCCCGGAACACATATTTCCGATCCGCTGAACCCGGACAGGTGCGGAGGAGACACAGGCCTCAACGTCGGTCCTCAGCGCGGCCGTGAGGAACGGCTGGTCCTCTGGGCTCCGGTCCTCATCCCTCCCGCCCCGGGCCGCTAGCTGCTGCTCCCCGGGCTGCTCGGGTCCAACATGGACACCTCCTGGAGTAACTTCCTCTTTCAGGTGAGTGGGAATTGAAGCTCCGGGGGGGGGGGGGAGCAGAGGAGCAAGGGGAGGAGGGGGATGTTTGACACTTCTGCATGGGAGAAGGGAGCAAGGGAGAGGGGGGTCAAAGGGGGGTCAGGATGGAGCTGCCCCCCCAAACAAGTTCCCCATCTGGACTTTGATCCTCCTCTGATTCATCATACGTTGATGACCAGACGCACCACCTGGATGAAGTAGAATAGGTGTACTTGTCTGCTATTACTACTGAGATGACTGTTTCAGACCTCGTCGTCTCAGACTCAGCCGGAGACGCCTCTCCAGTCCGATCTGATGCCCGAGCTCTCCGGATCGGCTCCGTCTCCTCCGGGCGAACACGTCGGCACGCCGCCCTCCACCGTGGACACCGCCGCCCTCAGCGAGGAGCCCCTTCCTGGTGACCGGGACGCATTTAAACACCTTAATCACATGATACATACTGCTGGACTGGACCTCACCTGGTCCTTGTGACTCATCACTTTACATATTTACATATTTATATATATATATATATTAGGGCTGCCAACATTAATTTGTTAATCTATGCGATTAATGTGGTTTAAGATTAAGATTAATGCACTAAAATATTTTAACGCAGCTAACGCAACTTTGTTTACTTCCTGAAGTAAACAAAGTTGACCTCAGAAACAGTTGAAACAGTTAAACACAAGAAAGCACGACGGTAGCCGAAGAGCTTTTTGCATTGGAAGTAAAACAAACCGGAGGACTGTGTAGAGGAATCACTCCACGTGTCAAACACAAGGGGGGCGAGTGGCAAACGGACCACTTTAGGACTGATAGGCTAAGCTAGCTGCTAGGCTAAGCTAGCTGCTAGGCTGCTTCCATCTCAACATCTAACGTTAGTCTGCAGAGGACCACTGTGTCCCTAAAAGACGGTGGTTTGAAAACGTCCTGCTAAACGTGGGGACATTGTTGTCACTTCACATCCGTTAAATGATGAGAGTTGAGAGCAAAGAGCACGAGGACGACAGGAAGAGTCGCTGGTTCAACATTTACACCAGGTGGAATTCTGCCTCCAACGTGATGTGTGTAGGTTTGTGTTTAAAATAACTAACAATTAAACAACAGTGTCTAAAATACACACTTTGTACAGTGATTACTTATTACTTGTAAGATTTAGTCTTTAGAAGAAATACAGACATTCATTATAAACATTGTAACAACAACGACATTCATTAATCTCGATTAATGAATTTGAAAATGTGCAATTAATTAGTTCATTTTTTTAAATCTATTGACAGCCCTAATACACACACACATAATGAAAATGCTGTGGTCTGTAGTGGACCACGTTATTCATGTATAATATATAATATGGAGTCTCTTCTGTGTCCATCAGTCAAACCGCTGCCCAAACCGGGCCGGTCCGCCCACGTCTGCGCCACCTGTAACAAGGAGTTCAAGAACAGCTACAACCTGCGGCGGCACCAGTCGGTGCACACAGGCATCAAGATGAAGGACCGCGCGGCCCGGGAGAAGGAGGACGGGGTCAAAGGTGGAGGACGGGGAGAGAAGCAGGCTGTGCCTCTGTCTCTGCTCCACCTCACTCTGCCGCATCCTCCTCCTGCCCCGGAGACCCTCACGCAGCACAGCAACCGGGAGGCCCGGCAGGTCCCGGTTTCCATCACCCCCGCAACCATCACCATGGCAGCGCCGCCCCAACCCATCCAGGGAGCTGTGGTCGTGGTGAGTTCCGTGGAGCAAGTAGGCTCTGGTTTTATTCATCCTTTATTTATATTTCTAATGGTCCTAAATATATTTTGGCTTTTTGTCATAATTTATTCATTTTATTGGAAATAGGTCTGGGACTTTTATTATGGAAGGTTAGAACAGGAAACTGGAGCTGGTTTGTGCTTTCTTTGTGTATTTAAAAAAACATTTAAATAAAAAATAAAAAACAGAAATGAATATTAAAACATTGCTGTTAGTGCAGGCATAAAAAAAGCTGATATTATTTTAAAGAACTGCTGAAAATACAGAAATGGGAGAAGCTTAAATTAGTTTTAAAACTACAGAAATAACAAAAGCTGAGATGAATAAATATAGGTTTTAAATTGCTTGTAGTAGTATTAGTTGTAATTGTGGTATCAGTAGTACTAGCGGTAGAAGTAGTAATAGTAGGTTTAGTATCAATAGCAGTAGAAACAGCTGTAATACTATTAGGCATAGCAGTATTTGTAATTACATTAGTTATTGAATTGAACATTTTAACGTGTTCACGTGTAATCTGTGAAATGTAGTTTTCTGTAATTATCAAATTTCAATATAAAAGTAATACAAGATATTAGAGATGAATTCTAATCTATTTAACTTCCTACCTCAGACACAATAGAAAATCATCTAGAAAACACAATATTTATACATTTGCATTTAATATATTTGATGGTTTATTAAATCAATATTGTGGGTCCTCTGCATCTGTTAATGGACCATCAGCGATCTGAAAGTGATGCCTGATCTGAGATCACTTTTCTTCCCCCCTCTATCTTGCCAGACATCCCTTACGTTTCCCCCACAGAGCCCCCACCCGAACGCCACCCAGGTGAGGAAGAACCACGCCTGCGAGGCGTGCGGCAAGGCCTTCCGGGACGTGTACCACCTGAACCGCCACCGCTTGTCCCACTCGGACGAGAAGCCGTACTCGTGCCCCGTCTGCCAGCAGCGCTTCAAGAGAAAGGACCGCATGAGCTACCACGTGCGCTCGCACCAAGGCGGCGTGGAGAAGCCCTACGTGTGTCCTCACTGCGCCAAGGCCTTCTCCCGGTACGGGGCGTTCAGGGACCCGTGGGGATCGTGGGATGAGTTAACGCATCGGATGTTCTGTTTATATGTTGAGTTTAAAACTGTCACAGTTTACATTTGTAGGTATGAGCTATGCAAAATGAAAAAGAAAAATAATCTTTCCTGGTTATAAAATCATTTCATTTTCAGCAGCAGAGTAGAACGAGAATATCATTAGAAAATACATAAAGCAGAAAAACTAAAATAAGTAAAGAGGTAAAAAGAGTGAATAGTAAAAAAACAGCAAGCCGAGTTTTCAAGCACATTTTTGCAGTTTAGGAGCTTTTATTGCTCTGAAGCGGTTCAGTGCTGCTCAACTTGATCCTGTGAATCAGCACATCCGGGCCTGGAGGGTCCTGGTTCTGGTGGTGGTGTTGTTTTAACGCCTGGTTGTGTTCTTTCAGACCGGATCACCTGAACAGCCATGTCCGCCAGGTGCACTCTACAGAGAGACCGTTCAAGTGCACGGTAACGTACTTACTTACTGTAAAGGTACCGATGTGGGTTTATGGACCAGAGAGAACGAGATGAGGATGACGGTGGAGATCTCAGAGATACTTATTGTATGAATTGATCCTCTCTGGAGCAGGTCGAGTTGATCAATCCTCTATTCTGTTCATTTAACCCATAATGAAATCTCTGCGCACACAGACGTGCACGTCGGCGTTCGCCACGCGGGACCGTCTGCGCGCTCACCTGATCCGCCACGAGGAGAAGGTGCCGTGTCACATCTGTGGGAAGCTGCTGTCTGCCGCCTACATCACCGACCACATGAGGGTCCACAACCAGTCGCAGCACCACGCCTGTCACCTGTGCAACCGCAGTGAGTCCAGCTGGAGGCTTTTATTGTGAAGCCGCTTCCTCTGCGGGGCTCTTATTATAAAGACGCGTAGATATGAAAGGTTCTGATGCGGATCAGTTCTACATACTTCAGGCAGTCGTCCCCGTGTTGTTTGTGTGTCGGATGACGAACAGGAAGTGCTTGTTTCCTAGGCTTCACCACGCTCACGTACCTGCGAGTCCACGCTCAGAAGCACCACGGTCAGGAGTGGAAGGAGAGCGGCGGGGCGCGGGGGGGCTTTGGCGGGACGGGCGCCGGCGGGGTGCTGCTCTGCCAGCTGTGTGGCGTGCAGTGCAAGACGGCCACGCAGCTGCAGGGTCACATGGACACGCACGGCAACCAGGACGACCCCGCCCCCACCAGCGCCAGCGGCGCTGCTGTCACCGAGTCCAGCGCTAACGCGGGGGGACTGCTAGTGGCGGACTGTACCGGCATCGCCCCCCCGGCCCACAGCTAGCGCGCTGGCGAGGCTGCGGGGGGGCGTGGCTGGCTGAAAGAGGAGGAGGGACCACATCCCATCCAGGTGTGTAACAAGTTATTCACGCATTAGGACGCTTTGACGAACGTCCCCGCGTGACGTCACTCGGCTGCATTAATGTCGTTTGACGCACCACGCGGCCACCGGTCCGTGATGAAACGGTTTATTTTAAATCCTTTTCTTTTCACCTTCCGGATGTTTTCTCTACAGAACCGGACTCAGACCGACAGAAGCCGCCACTCCTCTTCAACGTTCTTCGGACTTTTTCCCCCTGACCTATTGACCTTCCTGTGCGGATCAGAAGAGACAATAAGGAACTCTGACACAGGAAGCAATGTGTATTTTTACTCCCGTGGTTTTAGCAATTAGCCGTTTCTCTCTTAGCCGTCGTCGCATCGTCTCGACCAACTTGCACATCCCGTCACAATTTTGTGAAGTGTTTTTAGATGATTTGTATTCCACAATGTGTTTGTTTACAGGGGAAGGGGGCGCACGTTAACTTATTTTACTACTAAACGCTCTCCGGTCGGCCTTTTGGCTGGATTCTTGGAGCAGGGACCTGAGATGGACATCCTGTGATCCACTTTTCTACTGACAGTTCATGTGTACCATAAACTCTGAATGTGCATCACTCCTCTGCTTCGTCTCGCTCTCTGGATGCTGATCAGTGAGTCTTGAAGAAGTTGTCTTGTACTTTGTAGCTGCGTTGGTGACACATCTCCTGTGGCCGTGCGTATTGATTGTACTTGATGCATAGTGCAAAGCGCCTCGTTACTTATTAAAAAGCAGGAAGACGTCCGTGTGTATTCATGCTGGATTTACTCGACTGCTGCACTGAAACACAGATACTCAATACTTTTTTGTCTTTTTTGTCAACTTTGAACACTGACCAAATGTGCTACTGCAGGAATACTCAGGTGTATTTTTACAGTGTAGTATTAGTACATTTTACAGTGTGGTATCAACGCAAGTACTTTTATTGGGGTTTTATGTCCAGCGCCTTGACATTTACTGGAGTAACATTTATCAGTATTTTTGCCTGTAACATTATTTTTATTAATACGTGTTTTTAAAGTGTACTATTAACAGTAGTATTTTACTGTGGTAAGTTTCCAACGCAGGACTTCTAATTGTAATCAATATTTTTATAGGGTTGTATTATTTTTACTTCAATGCTAACTCAGCTAACGTTAGCATTGTTTACAGCGAGCCGAGCAGCGTCGCCCCTCCCCCACCGGCTTTACCAGCTCCTCCTACCGACTAGCTAACCAGCTAGCCGCGGTGAAAGCGGTCTTTACGAGACAGACCACCATTAAGCCTCCTGGATGAGACATATTGATCCAGGAATCGCGACAAGCCGTCTTAATGGGACGTGTGTTGGGCGGATATCACGACGCGATGGCCAGCTAAGCGAGCGGCGCAGAGCTAGCTGTTCGGCTAGCCGGGATAGCAGCTCCGCTACACCCACAACTAACTGTTTATTCGACTCCTTTTCGAAGCTGGTTTCTGTGTCATCATATATTTGATTTAACAGAGGGTTTGTTTGCACGTGTGTCAAATAAATCATCAACGCGGATGCTTTCTTTTTGACATGTAGGTCACTGATCCCGACCAATGATAGTTATGTGGGTCATAGACTGCATGGGGTTAACCTGTTAGCATGAGCAGCTGGTTAGCATGTTAGCTAGTTGGGTTTCTGTCACGTATGACGTCATTTAAAACGTTAAGAATAGCGATATGGTTTAATCACGTCCTTGTATTAGCGACAGTTAGTCGTGTCTCTGAGATTTCCATCGCGCACAACGTCTATTTATTTTCAACTGTTTCGGTTCGTCGCTGGACCATCATCGGCTAACCGGGCTAGCCGCTAGCGAAGCTAACAGATTAGCTTTACCAATCAACCAGGTGAGAGCAAACAGTTTAACTAATTATTTTGTTTGTGTTTCTATTATATATTACATAGTCCACATTTCTGCTGACTTTTTATTTTTGCTGGACTAAAAGTTAGCGTTTGTATTTAAAAATGTTATTGTTTGTGATCATTTTTACTTGTCCAGTGTCCATTAGCAGCTTTCTGATGTCTTTTCCTCATTATGTCTTATAATCACGTTGGAACCATTATGTCCATGTTGTTAATCCACATATTCTGCAGATACAGCTGCAATTATTCATTTTCTATTTACCAATTCGCCATCAATTGAATATAATCTCATATTCCTCGAGGTAAAACATCAACAAAAACTCAAAATATTCAGTTTATCATTTTAGAGAAGCAGAATATGTTTGCAGATGAATTCTCTGTAGTCTCCATTCTACGAGTCTTGACTTCCTGTGTCCCCTCTCAGGAGTCATCGGGGTCATGTCGGGCGTTCTCCCGCGTTTCCCTGTCGCCTAGGCAACCAGCAGCTCGGTTGTGAGGAAGCGTACCGTTCCCGGGCCCTCGGCGGGGGGAGCGATGGCGTTCCACGGCGGCGGCCGGCAGACCGTCTGCGGGGACTTGTTTCCGGGCTCCGAGTTGGGCCACAAGTATTTCTGCGTGAACTCGTCTTGCGGCGCCCCGTCCACGGGCCTCAGTGCCACGCCGTGCCTAAGCGGACCCACCGCTCCGGCCGGGACGCCCCGCCACCCCGCAGCCATGGGGGGCAGCACCGGGGGGGGAGCGGCGGTGCCTCAGCCCTACAGCAACCCGGCCAGCGAGGTGCCGAGCCCGGCTGAGATGGAGCCCGACCGGCCCATCGGCTACGGGGCCTTTGGGGTCGTCTGGTAAAGAAAGATGAGACTTTCTGATCGATATCAAGCACAAACAATGTTTTCTTCCTTTCATTTAGACCAAAGTCTTTAGTGTGAAAAATGACGCAGCAGATCAGCTCAAACTGAAACCTGCAAAGTAGATCATTCATCTTCTCTACCGATTAACCATCGAGGCATTTCCTCTATGAAAAGATCAACTGTTCATCTCTGGACGGATTGGTTTATCTGACAATAGTCCAAACGTTCAGTTAATTGTCAAAAGAAACACCGAAAAGCAGCACGTTTGATGTCCGCTGCAGGAAGTGAAACCATGAGAGTTTGGTCTGAACTTCCTGTGATGTCGCGCAGGTCCGTCACGGATCCTCGAGACGGGCGTAAAGTGGCCCTGAAGAAGATGCCCAACGTCTTCCAGAACCTGGTCTCGTGTAAGCGGGTCTTCAGAGAGCTGCGGATGCTCTGCTTCTTCAAACACGACAACGTAATGACGAGCGGCTCGGGGCGCCGGGGGGGCGGGGCAAAGAGATCAAAGAGACCAACCGTTTTCTGTCCCTGCAGGTTTTGTCGGCGTTGGACATTCTGCAGCCGCCACAAATCGACTGCTTTGAGGAAATGTATCCTTTAATTTGTACACAAAGTACAGAACCCATCGAAAGAATTAAACCGTGTTGGTGAAGCGTCTGAAACACCAAACAGTTCATCTGTAGCAGCAGAGAACTCGAACAGGATGACGGTTATGACATCAGTCATGAGGAAGAAAAAACGTTTATTTGAAAACTTATTTTTACAGAAATGAGTAAACACTGAAATCTTTATACCCAACTTTCTTGTCTAAAAGTCTCTACGTGTTATTTATTGGTATTAAACTCTGTGTTCACTGACTTATGGTCACATCAACATTTTTTACAGAATCTGGTTCAAATAAACGGATTATCAGAAGAGTTTTTATTACGACTAGATAGAGTTTAAGGAACGTCAGAAAGCTGTTAATGTGCTAACATCCGGTCTGATGAGCGATGTAGTTTTGGGCTTCAGAGGGTTGAATATGAGCACATAGAGCAGTTTCCACAGTTCCTCTGGTTCTGCGTCACAGCGTCCTTCCAAAGCCCAGTTAATAACAATGATGGAGCTTCCGGTGTTTTCCTGAAGCCGCCCCTCAGCTACGTGATCACGGAGCTGATGCAGAGCGACCTCCACAAAGTGATCGTGTCTCCTCAGCCGCTCACCACCGACCACATCAAGGTCTTCCTCTACCAGATCCTCAGAGGTGAGAAGTCACACGGTTTTAATGATTGAAAGAGACGCGGCGCTGAAATGCAACCATTAACATTCAGTGGAAACGCAGTAATACTTTGTATTAATAGTAATACGCTTGTGTCTCAGGTCTGAAGTACCTTCACTCCGCTGGGATTCTGCACCGAGACATCAAACCTGGAAACCTGCTGGTCAACAGCAACTGTCTGCTGAAGGTGAACTTCTGGAACCACAGAAACACAACTATCATACTACACATATTATACTATACTAATTATTATTTATATATTATACTAATACTACACATATTATAATCATGAATATAATCTATACAATCATTCTAATTATGGATTTGCGGCCCCGGTCTGTAGATCTGTGACTTCGGCCTGGCGCGTGTGGAGGAGCCCGACCCGACCCGTCACATGACCCAGGAGGTGGTGACCCAGTACTACCGGGCCCCGGAGGTGCTGATGGGCTGCCGGCACTACGGATCGGCCATCGACGTCTGGTCGGTGGGCTGCATCTTCGCAGAGCTGCTGGGCCGCCGCATCCTCTTCCAGGCCCAAAGCCCCATTCAGCAGGTGGGGGGGTTACGCTCAACGTGTATTGTGCATCTTTTATGTTGTTCCTTCTGTGCACGTGACATCCATTGAGTCCCGTCCGTCCTGATAGAGGGATCCTCCTCTCTCACGCAAACCTTTCTCCCCATGGAAGGGTTTTCATTTTTTGGAGTTTTCCCTGTGCAGATTTCTCTTTTGGGACTGAGGATGTCTCATGTGTACAGACTGTAAAGCCCACTGAGGCTAATTTGCGATTTTTTACTATAGAAAATGAATTGAATTAAAACGAGAAGAGAGAAAAGCGTCACGTTTGAGAAGTTAAAGAATATTTGTCATAATTCAATATTGAATCTTAAAACAAGAATCGTCCAGCTACGATCAATAGTCTCTACCAGGAGGGAATCTGATTCTTTCCTTGTACTGTTGTTTTATTTGTATTATGTCAATGACTTTACTATTATTTAGAGGAAATTGTTTTATTTTTGTTAGACAAATGAATTAATTCCGATGTCACTTCTTGTCCTCAGCTGGATCTGATCACAGACCTGCTAGGAACGCCCCCCCTGTCGGCCCTGTCGTCGGCCTGTGAGGGGGCCAGAGCTCACATCCTCAGGGGGCCACACAAACCGGTACGGCACCCACGACCATTCCCACAATTCAATGCTTTTTACAGAATCTGGCGTTTTTCAAGGCAATGCGTTCAGGGGCCGTGGGAAAGATGGAACGCTGAGCTGGTACGGGTGGTGTTGGTAACGCTGAGCTGGTACGGGTGGTGTTGGTAACGCTGAGCTGGTATGGGTGGTGTTGTTGGTAACGCTGAGCTGGTACGGGTGGTGGTGTTGGTAACGCTGAGCTGGTACGGGTGGTGTTGGTAACGCTGAGCTGCTATGGCTGGTGTTGTTGGTAAACGCTGAGCTGGTACGGGTGGTGGGGTGGTAACGCTGAGCTGCTACGGGTGGTGGGTGTGGTAACCTTAACTTGTACCAGTAGTGGGGGTTGTTAACACTCAACTGCTACTGCGGGGGGGGGTTGGTAACGCTGAGCTGGTACGGGTGGTGGGGTTGGTAACGCTGAGCTGGTACGGGTGGTGGCGTCGGTAACGCTGAGCTGGTACGGGTGGTGTTGTTGGTAACCACCGTCCAGGAGCGTGAGACCGGCGTTGATGAAGTGGCCGTGTGCTTGTGTTCCAGCTCTCGCTGTCGGTGCTCTACATGCTGTCGGACGGGGCCACGCACGAGGGCCGTGCACCTGCTCTGCCGCATGCTGGTGTTCGACCCGGTGAGTTCAGGTCCCGCGCGGCCTCACGGACCTGGTTCTGGTCCGAGCCTCTCGTTGTGACCCTTGTCGTCCCCTCCTAGGCCAAGCGGATCTCCGGCAGCGACGCCCTGTCCCACCCCTACCTTGAACGAGGGCCGCCTGCGCTACCACACCTGCATGTGCCAGTGCTGCTACTCCGTCCCCAGCGGGCGCGTGTACACCCGCGACTTCGAGCCGGTGGCTGAGCGCCCGTTCAGCCACAGCTACGAGAACAGCCTGCTGTCCGTGTGGCAGGGCAAAGGTGAGGGGCGGCGCCCGCCTCCTTGTTACCATGGACACCGTTGGCTGTGGCTGACTCTGTCTTCCTGTCTCCCAGAGTTGATCCATCGCTTCATCAGCGAGCACCAGCAGGGAAAGCGTGTGCCGCTGTGCATCAACCCCCAGAGCGCCGCCTTCAAGACCTTCATCAGGTGAGCGGAGGCCGAGCAAACCGCTAGCTAGCGTCTTTTGTTAGCTAATAGCATTTAACATAAGTATTGCGTATGATTAACGTAAAGGTGTCCTGACCTGGCAGCTGTTAGCTAACTATCCAGTAAAGCTATTGATAAAAATGATGGTGTAATGTTTTGAGGTGATTTTACGTTGTTAAAGTAGGCGTTAGCTCCTTAGCTATCGAGACAAAATACCGTCAAACACGCTGACGGTACAAATCAAAAATGTTTAACTCACGATAACTTCATCAGCCAACTGAGCTACGCTAGGGGTAGCCAGCTAGCTAAGTGTAAGCTTAACTGGGGATAGCAAGCTAGCTAACTGTACGCTGAGCTGATGGTAGCCAGCTAGCATAGCTACACAGCATTGGCTCTGGTGCTAGCTAGTACCATTGAACAAGAGTAAATGAGCATTACAGATAATAATGTTATAGAAATGAATATGTTTGTATAATTCTATACCGGGCTCATTGGAGCGCCGTTTGACCGGTGCTGGTTCTTGTGTCCTCAGGTCCACTGCATGGCATTCCTCCAAGGTGTCAAGGAAGGAGGAGAGATGAAGGCTCCTCCTCCTCACCAGGAGAGTTCCAGGAAAAGATTTTGTCGGGTGTGAAAAAGAGTTTAGGTCCTCTTTTTATTCTTTTTGTTCACCTGCCTCAGAAACACGCGAGCTCCTCGTTTACGTTCATCCTAAAAAACTAAAGCTCCACTGAGCCCAATGCTTGCAGCGTTTTTTTCCGGTGCTGAATTAAGAAATAAATATAGAAATTGCTGCTGAAGTGCTCGAGGGGGAAAAGAAAAGAGGAACTCTGTACTAGATTCGATTTTTATCCATAAATATCATTAGACATTAAGAAAAAACACTTTTAATTGTTTGCTAGGATTGTTGTGTAGTTTATTTTATTCTTTTTTTAAAGTCATTCCAGCAGTGTTTCATATGGTTTAATTTCAACGGTAAAAACAACTGGATCCTGAACACGCAACAGCAGGCTTTTCTCCTTTTATTTCAACTGCATTTGAACACATCGCCAGGTGTAACCTTAATAACACATTAATGACAGATGTAGCAGGTTTTACACCCCCCCCCCACCCCCCCCCACACACACCTGGATCAGCATTCCGTTTAACAGCTGAAGAAGGAAACAGGAAGTCCTCCCTTCCACCGTTTTTAGAGCTCATTATTTTATTTTGAAAGTTGTGACAGGAAGCTGTGACCGGTAATCGGGCCATTATCGGTTCAAATAAATATTTACAGAGCCGGGGAATTGCGTTAAATATTTTGGTTTTATATAAATATATAAGCCACAAATCTCTGGATCCATCTCCACTCTGCAATCTGAGAATATTTCATTTAATGTGTAAATTTAATTCTAAATTGTAAAAAGTATTTTTGTTTTGTTTCCCCGTACATTTCCCACTTTAATTACGTAATTACGTAAGTAATAGGGTCCGGCTCTCTGAATATTACCCAAGTGCCCCGGCTTCGTATCTCTTCTTCCCTTTTTTTGTTTTTGTTATCGCAGAGAAACAGGAAGTGACTTTTATTTTGTTACCTCTTAATTTATTGCGTGTTTGTTGTTGACGAGAGTGTGTCTCCATCTGTTAGCTCGACGTGATGTGTGCAACCCCCTCTTCAAACATCAGTCCTCCACGTTCTTCTTCTCTTCCTGGTTCCTTTTTATGTTTATAGTTTTTAGGACGTCCTGCTTAGTTTCCCAACTGTAACAAGTCCACACACAGAAGAATTGAGCATCAGCCAATAATCACAACGATCAGTGGGAGAAGTTTAGAGGAAGTAAAGACGAGGTCTGGAGGAGGAGAAGAAGCTGCTGGAGTTCCACGCAGAAACATTCTTCAGATCATTTAAGTATTCAAAGATGAAGCGGTTCTTCTGGTTGAGATGACGAAGTTCCTTTAACATCTGCAGCAGGTTTACTAGTTCCTGTTCTAACAAATGGACAAAGCAGCAGAGCTTTGGAGCCATCGGAGGTTCTCCTGGCTCCTGTGGAGACCTCAGGCTCCTACGACTGAAGGATCTCCTCCAGGAACCTTTTTTAAAGGTCTGACTTGAACCGCCTCGTCTCTCTTGTAGAGCCCCTGAGAGCTGGAGGAGGAGGAACCTCCCGAGAACTCCTGGTTCACCTCCTGCATCGTGTTTGACCCGTTTCATTTCCTCTCGTACTTGTCCTGAACCTCCTGGTCGGTTCTCTGGGGTTCTCCGCTGCGGTTCCTCTCGGCCCCGTGAGACCTGCTCTCCTCCAGGAGGCCCCCCTGTAGATCTGCATGCGTGTGTTTTGCCCCTAAGAGCGTTTTGAGTTTTGATGCTTTGCGGTTGGTTGAAGGGGGAAAAGTACATTGTGGTAAATTTCTTCATTGAATTCATCTTTTAGGAAGTGATTTTTATTAGACGGTTTTAGTTTGTTGTGATTAAAGTCGGATGTTTAAAGATTGTTCTCTGAGATTAGTTTGTTTCCTCGATCCGATTAATTATTCTTATCAAGTTCTCTTATCCTTAAACTCTGAACTAAAACCATGAGCATCTTATTGTGCTTCAATAATTAACTTTATCAGAAGAACTTTATGAAGATGTGGTTCATCGCTACTTGTTTCAACTCCACAAATACGATGAATCCATAATTTGAGGGACTGTTTTGTTCATTATTTCTTCTGTTCCGGGAAGAGACGCTTCAGGTGATCTGAGGTCTGTCTCATTCTGGGGACAGACGGGGGACAGACGGACAGACTGCTAGTCGTGTTTAGAATTGGCCTCGTTTTTCTTCTATGAAAAGAAACTTGATGTTTTTATTATAAATATGAAACTGATGTTTTCTGTCTTTGTTTTAGGAACAAACACGTTTTTGGTTATTTTTGGTTCTTTTTGACATTTGTTCCCTACAAATACTTGAATTTCTTAAACAAATTGCTTAGATTTAAAGTAGTGGATGATGAATAAATAAGTGGACACTGGATAATATTCACAATGTTCACGCGTCCCTTTTTTTGTCTTCGATCAATAAATCCGTCAAATAACTATTAAATTTCTTCAAATCTACAAAGACGGTCTGGAGGTACCTGGAGTCCCTCCTCTGACAGGTGACAGCTCCTCCCAGCTGATCCTCCCCCTGAGCTCATCACCCCCCCCCCACACACACACACACAAACAAAAAAATGCGCTCAGATGAGCCATGTGGGGACTCTTCGCTGCCGGCTGAGTCGTCTTCTCCGGAATCTTCGCGCTGTGCGAACAGACACTGAAACTGTAGACGAGATGCAGAGACGGGGACGCAGCTATGGTGTCCACCCGGTAGGACATCCCCCCCCAACACACACACACACCCACTTAACACACTGCAGTGATTCCTGGAAAACTGAAGCAAACGTTTATATTCACATCCCGTACTGCTGTTAAAGTACTAATACCACACTGAGCGGATACTCTGTTAAAGTACTAATACCACACTGAGCGGATACTCTGTTAGAGTACTAATACCACACTGAGCGGATACTCTGTTAAAGTACTAATACCACACTGAGCGGATACTCTGTTAAAGTACTAATACCACACTGAGCGGATACTCTGTTAAAGTACTAATACCACACTGAGCGGATACTCTGTTAAAGTACTAATACCACACTGAGCGGATACTCTGTTAAAGTACTAATACCACACTGAGCGGATACTCTGTTAAAGTACTAATACCACACTGAGCGGATACTCTGTTAAAGTACTAATACCACACTGAGCGGATACTCTGTTAAAGTACTAATACCACACTGAGCGGATACTCTGTTAGAGTACTAATACCACACTGAGCGGATACTCTGTTAAAGTACTAATACCACACTGAGCGGATACTCTGTTAGAGTACTAATACCACACTGAGGTGATGAAGAACCCATGGTTTCTGTCTCTTCAGCGTCGTGTCGTCCCTCCAGGCCGTCATGGCGTCCTCAGCTGGATGTGTGATCGTCTCGTCCTGCCGGGACGTCTTGGAGGACAGGTGAGACTTTTTACTCCAAGGCCCCACATGTGGATTCATCCGCAGCTGGAAATAGTCCCAAAACAAACGCTGCACTGCTCCGTGTGATGTATTATGGATCAGGACGACGTGTTCATGGTCCTCAGAGGATGAACCTGGGCTCCAGGGAACCGCTGTCCTCTCCGGTAGCTCCAACATTAAAATTATTAGTAAAAATAATTATACAAATCAATAATGGGCATAAAACATGGCAAGGGAAATATATATAGAACTTAATATCATTAAAACCTTTAAAATATAAGAGTTGAATACTAAACGGGTTTTTACTGTTTATAGTAAAACCCATTAAGAACAAAACGAATGTGTGAACAAACCTCAACCTGAACAAATTAGCCACCAATTAACAGTCACAGCTATTTACGGCTGTAAGTCGCTGACAGAATAATCCTGCTCGCTGAGGACGGCGGGACGGAGGAATAAAGGAGCCGCTCTCCTTTATTTCCCAGTCAAAGTGGAGGTGCGTCCAGGCTGCATTTGTTTATCAAATCCCACAACGCATTCGTGCCACAATGCATTCTGGGAGAGGCTGCTGCTTCACAGAATGTTTAAGGTCAGCTGATACTTGTCCGGATACAAATCCGTTTCAGTCCAGGTGGAGATCCGTCAGAACGTCTTATACTGTTAAACAATATATTATAGATGGAGCTCAGGGCCTCCTCCCATCAATCATGTCATGTCATCTGTTTCCTGCTCAGACATTGGCTGACCGACGCTTACATCCTGTTTGCCACGCCCTACTTCGCTTACGACATCTACGCCATGTTCCTGTGCTACTGGCACAGGTTGCAGGTCAAAGGTCACGAGGAGGGGCAGGCGGGGGGCGTGGTCGGGTCAAAGCGAGCCGCCGTGGCAGGTTACCTGCGCAGGGAGAAGCTCATGGTGCTGCACCACGTCTTCATGGTGGCCTTCTGCTTCCCTGTATCACTGGTAACTATGGCAACACCTGACCTTTGCCCTCGCGCCAGGGTCAGCACGGCGCTAGGTGGATCCTCAGCATATTGTTTGTATTCTAACGTCTGACGTGTAGTACCGCCACAGTGGATCAGCCTCATTATTAATATCTTGTTAAATGTATTGATTCTGCAATAATTGCTGTGATTATATTCTGTATTATTATCTCTGTCTGTTGGGATTAATATTCATATTTGATTATTAAAATGAGTAATATTCTTTTTATTAAGTATCGTGTCGTTCATCACGTATAATGCAGTGTAGAATAATAAAGGGTGTGTGTGTGTGCAGCTGTGGAGGGGGGGCCGAGGGGACTACTTCCAGGGTGTCCTCTTCCTGACTGAGCTCAGCACTCCATGTGTCTGTCTGACCAAAGTTCTCATTCAGGTGAGACGTGATTTCCACTGAAGATCAATGAAATCCACATTTATAGTTTCACTCACTGCGTCTCGTCCTCCTTCTGTGTTCAGTTTAAGAAGCAACACACTCTGCTGCACAAAGTCAACGGCGTCCTGATGCTGCTGCTCTTCTTCTTCTGCCGCGTGCTGCTCCTCCCGTACCTGTACTACTCCTACAGCCGGTACCAGTATTTATACACCTGGTATTAGTACCTGTGCTACTCCTACAGCCGGTACCAGTATTTATACACCTGGTATTAGTACCTGTACCAGTATTTATACACCTGGTATTAGTAACTGTACTACTCTTACAGCCAGTACCAGTATTTATACACCTGGTATTAGTGCCTGTACTACTCCTACAGCCGGTACCAGTATTTATACACCTGGTATTAGTACCTGTGCTACTCCTACAGCCGGTACCAGTATTTATACACCTGGTATTAGTACCTGTACCAGTATTTATACACCTGGTATTAGTAACTGTACTACTCTTACAGCCAGTACCAGTATTTATACACCTGGTATTAGTGCCTGTACTACTCCTACAGCCGGTACCAGTATTTATACACCTGGTATTAGTACCTGTGCTACTCCTACAGCCGGTACCAGTATTTATACACCTGGTATTAGTACCTGTACCAGTATTTATACACCTGGTATTAGTAACTGTACTACTCTTACAGCCAGTACCAGTATTTATACACCTGGTATTAGTGCCTGTACTACTCCTACAGCCGGTACCAGTATTTATACACCTGGTATTAGTACCTGTACTACTCCTACAGCCGGTACCAGTATTTATACACCTGGTATTAGTACCTGTACCAGTATTTATACACCTGGTATTAGTACCTGTACCAGTATTTATACACCTGGTATTAGTACCTGTGCTACTCCTACAGCCGGTACCAGTATTTATACACCTGGTATTAGTACCTGTACTACTCCTACAGCCGGTACCAGTATTTATACACCTGGTATTAGTACCTGTACTACTCCTACAGCCGGTACCAGTATTCATACACGTGGTATTAGTACCTGTACTTCTTATTATAGTAGGTATTATAGTAGAAGTACCTTTTCTGTATAAAGTACTCGCACAGTGGTATTAGTACTTGTCTCCATGTGTCAGCTTTGCTCTCTCAATGTTTTCATGTTGTTTGGAAAGGAGGAAAAAGCAAAGCGCCGTGACCCTCTGTTGTTGTTGTTGTTGTTGTCGTCGTCTCCACAGCTACGCCTCTGTCCCGCTGCACCTGGTGCCCTTGCTGGCCCCGTGGCAGTGTAACCTGGGGGCCGCTCTGCTGTGGCCCCTGCAGCTCTACTGGTTCACGCTCATCTGCACGGGAGTCCTCCGCGGGCAGAGGACGGCGGCTCGCTGCCCGACGGACGGCGGCGGGTCTGGAACTTGAGGACCTGAGGAGACCTGAGGAGACCTGAGGGGAAAACCAGGAGTGAGAACATAAAGCAGCGTGTAGCCAGTGAGAGTATAAATGTTGAGGTATGAACTCAAGAGAGCAGGTCTCTCTCGGTCATTTTTTCAAATATTTGTATTTGTCCAGGTAAATAACAATATCTAAAAATAACTGTGCAGTAGAAATAACGTTTAATTATTGAAGTGTAAATAAACCTTTTTAAAATGCAACTTTAAATGCAGCGTTGTTGTTTTTTGTCTGTTTTGCTGTCTTTCATTTTTATCATTTGGGTATATTATCCTTTTGAGTTGAAAAAACAGTGGTAGTGGAATGCGACTGAATATATTTACTAAAAGTACAATCTGAGATTTCTCCTCCTACGTAATTTGACAGATAAGTCAAACGTTTGGACACGCTTTCTCAATCGAGAAACTTTTGACCTTAGTAGGAATTAAAAGTAAAGCATTTATTGCTGAGTGTATCAGAGTACTTAAATACTGTGATATTAGTACTCCTTTTCAGAGTGTTTTAATTATGTGTTGTATTTATACTTCGTATTTGCACGGTGTAGTACGTTGATTCATGAATCTGTTTACAAACGGGTGATAACTACTCCTTCCCGGTTTCCTCTGTCTTCCGGTTTACCGTCAGTTGCTTTGATTCGGGGAAACGAGTCATCCGTTAAGACCGAGCGGCTCTTTCTCTCTCCTTCCTTTTTGAACCGCAGCTGTCAGCCA